ATCATAGGCCCGAAGGAGTGGTGAGAAAGCTTGATATTGAGATTTTCCTTCCGATCATGGAGATAATGATATATGTCCAGTAATTCGACTTGCTTCTTCAGGGTGTGAGGGGCCCTGACCATTGGGATTTCGAACTGGTTGACTTCAGGAAATGCAATGTATGTGTCCATATCTTTGCGCCTGGCACAATCCAAAAGCAAACTGTATTTCAGTCGACGAGTGTGTTCGGTATCTTCAAGTTCGCGCTTGGTGTATTTGTGATTCTTGACAGGAGGGTGTACAAGAGTTGGTTTTTGTTTTTTGCTTGACGTCGTTGCTTGGGTCGAGAGCGAGCCATATTGTCTTTTTTGGGAAGTTTTTGTAGCCATGGTGTTGAGATGTATAGAATACAACATGAAAGACGTGTCCATGGGGAACAAGAAGTACGCTTGCTACGCAACATGTGACTGAATAGGTGACTGTATTTTTTTCTCTTTAGAATAGTCCACCCAGAGAGGTCAATTCAATCTGAAATTAAGTTTATCGGCCGGGTTTTGTTAGCAAAACCCGGCCGATAAACGAGTTTCGACTGTACTACACCACAGAATCCATTTGCATAGGTCGACCGAACTGGGAAAGCCCTCCGCGAGTCTTCTCTGGCATCACTACTCTCAAGACTGGACCCAGCCGAAATCATTGTGGTTTATTCCATCCATAACAAGATCCGTCGCAGTCAACAGGAGTTCGTTGTGGTTATGGTTGGCCATTCATATTTTTGCACCTGCCTCTTGATGCAAAACAAGGAGATTATGTGCAGGCACTTCTTTTGCGTGATGCAAGGGGACAGCAGGTGCAAGTATTTGATCAGCCTCGTTCTCAGGCGCTGGTTCAAGGAGCAGTGGCAGGATCTTGAAGGTTTCGAGACGAAAGTTGGTTCAAAGCTTCTAGTCGCCTACCCGCATTACATCGCCTCCACCAGGACCGAGGATCACCCCGCCAGCGCTTGTACGAGGATTGTGCACACCTTGTTCTCTACAGGATCCTCGACACCACAGCCAAGGAAGGAAGAGCGACTGAGGATAAAGTGGCACACAGATGTTACAGGGATCGTGAGAGAGCTGGTCATCATGGGGACAGCCGGTCCAGCAATGCGATGCAAACGCTCAACAACCTCTCAATCTCGCTGAAACGGAGACGGGACTCATAGAGCTACAGGACGCGTCTGACAACGAAGCAGGTCTTGGTGTCACCAAAGACCCACTTGTAGTGAAGCCGAAGGGGCGTCCAAGAGCCAAACGTATCAAGAGCAGCAGTGAGATGTCGCGACCATCCAAAGAGTTCCATCCTGCTGAAACAGACCTTGAACAATAAACGAGTAATTTTTTTTTTTTTAAACGAGGCCCTACAGACTACCCCCGTGAGAATATGGCGCTCACCTCCCCGTGAAAAAAAAAAGCTCGAATTATTCTTACCGGGGTGTAAGAATAACCCGCTTACACCCCTGTGAGATGACAAAACGGGGGATAATCTCACGGGGGGTGCGAGAATAAAATCTTACGGGGGGGTGAGATTATATTCTTCCTTTTTTTATTCAAATTATTTATTCGCCAACCCCTACCTACCATATGTAGATGTGTGATTATTCGTCGATCCCTCTGCTATTTGCCGACCCTTACTTCCTTGGCTGCATACAAAAGTTATATGTCGCCCGATCGACTCGTCATACCCTTCTTGTCTATCGCCGCCCCACCAACTAGACATATGGATCCCCGGCTGCTTGCTACCTCATCAACTTGTTATATTGCTCCTTGCCTGTTTGTCACCCGGTGCCATCTAAAATGGCCTTTTTTTTATCTTACAAATGAACAACGAGATTCACCCCATTACATTGACTCCATATTGATCTCCTATATATCAACCAGAGCTAGGATCTTGCGCGCGCGAGGTCTTTTTATTTTTTTGATCTTATTTAAGTTTTTAATATGTCGAGGTCGTCCTCGGCTTTTTACGTTTACTGGGCTGCTCCATGCTGCTCTTGAGTCGCTTTCCCTTGGTCCTTCCCTTTGTAATTGCGGTCATTGGGTCTTCAATGGCAAATAGACCCATTTTTTCATTAATGGCCTTGTTCAACATCTTCAGCGCCGCCATGCACATCCCCGGGTCATCTAATGACTGGCTCGCTAAGTGTTTGGCTTTACCCGTGATTCCGCCATAAAATCTAGCCATGGGTAGCTTAGCCGCACTCGGTCGCACCCCCCTTGCTGCAATGAATAGATAGGGATCCATGTGACTAGTTGATGGGGCGACAATAGACAAGAGGGGGTATAACAAGTCGATCGGGCGATATATAACTTTTGTATGCAGCCAAGGAAGTAAGGGTCGGCAAATAGCAGAGGGGTCGACGAATAATCACACATCTACATATGGTAGGTAGGGGTCGGCAAATAAGCATTTTCGACCGGTCGGTGAATAAATAATTTGCAACCCGTTGGCAAATAGCACTGGAGTAAATTTCGCAGGGTGACCACACGCAGCTGTACAAGCTGTCTTTGTTGGACCACTCCCATTTCCCCTGGCCCTTGAAATAAAATGGCTAATACCAGGTGCTTTGCTAGCGTGTGAGCCTTGCTCGTTTGTTTATTGAGGGTCGGGCGCGATGAGGGCTGCAGACAGCACTACCTGTTTCAAAGCTTTCACAGACGGTTGTCTAATGTCACGGGCAGCCCAACCACCCTCGTACGCCGACCTGATACTATGCCGCCGTATCGCACAATCTTGTCGAACTTTTAGAGTTATTAGAACCTCGTATAACCATACAGCCCACGAATCCAGTCTACAATAAGCCATTATCCTTGTACCTAGTGCTCTTGTCTGGATCCTTTGTCTGCCCTTGACGTATACTTTAAGAGGGCAATGGTTATCTTATTTAAGAACTTCGAGTGTTGCGACCGAGACGCTTCTGAGTCTCAACACTGCTCCTGATACGCGTCTGCTTCGGTCTGCTCTTGGCCTTCATCTCAACAGGATTCATAATTTTAAAAGTCCCTCTCCCTTTGACGATGGCCTTGGAAATTGTTTCTTTCACCAGTTCGAGCTGCTCCGGCTTTGAGTTGACTACATCCAAAAGCTTCTTCATCATCCCTGATATTTCCCCGTAGCGGCGTTTCCTCGATATCTCGTGTTCATCAGACCACCCGGGCACTGTAAAGGCTGGGAAAGCCTTCGTGGTGTCTCCCATGTACCCATGAAGGTGTCAGGGGGCATGCTGGCATTCCTATACCTCTGGTATATCTTGGCGACGCAAAACCGCTCAGAACTGACATCAAGGTTAATCCGATGTGATATTTGCATCTTTTGTCAAGTTCCATCACTTTAAAACAGTGTCGGCACACGATGCCAAGTTTTGCAGCAGAAAACATGTATAGAGAGATACGAGCCATCCCGGAAAAGTAGAACATTCTGTTGGCGTTTCTGATGAATATCCAATTTGTAGTTGACAGCGAAAATGCATTGTATGTTGCGCTCACCAATGGTAGAGCGCAGGACATCTAAGGAAGCTTTCAAGCGGTCTTCCTTTGCGCTTTTTCAATCTGTAGACTATGAATTAGATCGTTAAACAGCATTCATTTCTACGCGTCTCTACTTGACCACTGCCCTTGACCCCTTGACTCCTCTGCTGTTGCAGGTTCTGTGATCCGATGCTTAATCTCGTTAGGGCTCCCTGGGGTATAGTCCTGTGACACCAACTAACGCTGCTAGGGCATCGTAAACGACGGTATCCGGAGAGAGTCGATCTAGAGGGAAAGGAGGACCTTTTTCGTGTGAATGCTGCTATCTAGTTCTATGTGTAGATAGGGTTTATATACTGGCCGGGTCGATACCAACAATGTTCTGGAATGTTGCAGGAAATGGGCGAAGCACCGATGACACCATTGTGTACTGAGCCGGACATAAACCTTTTGCAGGCATGCAGAGAAGGGCATACAATAAGAGCACCATTTATAGAGACCAGATGTTAATGGGAGCAAGACCAACTCTTGGGCCCAACTCTTGAGACAGTGACTAAAGTTTGCCTTTGCAGGAGAGTCCAAAAATAATGTTGTACAGCTGTTGGCACGGATCAAGGCAACTAAACAAACAGCATGGAAGAGCAAACCTCGCTGCAACGTAGGTTAGCACTCCCGATGATTACGATTAGAGCGAAGCAGGGACATTGCATTGATCGCCTAGCATGGATCATTGTTCGATACGCGCCAGCTACAATGCTCTGCCGTCACATTTTGAAAAAATCGTGGATGTTACACATCTAGAACTTTGACCACGCATGCAAGCAGTTAAACCTTCTAGGACCCCTGTAACCCCCTAACCCCCGTAACCCCCGCAAAAAAAAGATGATAAATAGAGCCGCTAGAGACGTTCACTTTGACCATGTATGCAGGCAGAAAAACCTGCCACTCACCTGCGCTCACACATCCAAAGAACTGCTCCCTTCCTACAGAGAAACAGACCGCCGATCGCAAGCTACGCTATCATGCCACCTTAAAGGTCCCATTTGTGAACCCTTCGACCCACATCATGGTTGATGTGGAGAGAGACCCCACGTATGATATGTATTATGTGTGCACCAGTGATGAATGCCCCTACAAGTCAATCCTCATCTCGAACCCACGAGCGCACTTTCGTGAGTGCAAATTCGTCCTGTAGGACTACCAGCGAAAATATCCTTGGTTATTCGACAGTTCTTCCGATCCTTCGGGTCCTTCAGGTTCCTCACGTCGCTCCACGCGCATAGATCCAACTGGCAACACCATTGCAGACACAACAGCAACAGCAACAACAGCTTCAGCAGCAGCAGCAGCCAGTGGAGCAAACGCTAGGTATCACCCATACGTCCATCCTAGCCATCCACCGGTCACTACCGCCGCCATCCTTCCGCAAGATAACGCGCAAGTTGCGGTCCCCTCGGCTTTCAGAGAAATGATATCTGAAAACTTGACCGCCATTAGAAGCGACTGCAAGGGATGGACGAAAAGTTCATTCATTTCGCAAACGGTCTGAATGGACAAGTCAAGAGAACGGAAGCATCGGTAATAGCGACAGCCAATATGGTGAAGCATTTGGACGAGAGGGTCGTATCTTTATCAGAGCGAGTCAAGAACGTGCAGAAGACCACCAATCGGTTCTATTACAATGATAATGCAATGGCGAATATGGTCGAAGCTTTGAACGATGTGTCTTCCTCTTGCACTCAGATTCTGAGAAGCATGGGACATGATGTGCGTCCCGCCAGGAACACAGAGATCTCAGCTTCCAGTCCGCCAGTTTTTCGCACATCATCACAGGGTAAGCACACAGCGCCAGCCGTAATAGATCTCTTCAACATCCTACCTGCATTTTCGACATCTTCTAACGCTATTGTACTATTGTTGTAATATTAGATGAAGGAGCACCATTCGCCGTACCATGTTTATCAAGCGTTAGCTCGGTTTACTGTGCCTGCACTCGAGACACTCCTTCCCCGTCCATCGACTCTCAGATGCTGCCGGCTGACAGCGACGAGGGACATGAAATTAAGGCCACCATCATTGAGAACACCATGGGTGAGGTGGCGGACCAAGACCAGCAAGACCATTAGGAGGCCGAGTGTGATCATGAACAGTGATGTTGTAGGAGTGAGGGTAGTGGGGGGAAAAGAGGAGTCTAAAAACAGCAAAGAATAAAGTTGATATTCTTATGAGTTTATGAATTGACAGCTGTGCTAAGCAGTGCATGATCTCTTCCCCATGAGAATTTCCTTATTGAATAGGACAGGCCCAAAGTACTGCGCCTAAGAGTTTTTTTTTTTTTTTTTTTTTTAACAGACTCACATGAACATGAGATACATGGTCCCCGAAAGCCTTAAAGCACATTTGAGGTAATATTCTCCGTAGTCTTTTAAAGGCTTGCTATGTAGATTAGCTCAATAAATTACGCTTGCTTGGAATCATACACTGTACACGCTGATATAGTCTGGCACTTCTCATCCACACAGCTGGAACTGCACCTCTACACTCCGTCCCAACACATAAGGCACATACCGGATCTTGATGCGCTTGAGGGCTATCCATCTATACACAGCAGAACACGAGGATGGGTCGCTAAGCCCATGAAAACGCGACGCGCTATTGGGCAACGCGCATGGATTGCCAAGGAATAAAAATCAACAGAATGGGACTGTTAAACTAGGGGGGTTGTCAAATGGATTGTCCCACAATCCTGGTTGCCAAGTATGTATAATGGGTTATTCCATTTTTAAGTTCAGAAGCTCAATGCTCTACGAATAATCCGATATTGATGCATCTTTATTTTTCACTGCCGGCGCGAAACTTGTACGGGCTGGCCTTCGCTTCCTCTAAAGGTGCTCCTCGGGCGGGAAAACCGCATGGCAGAGTCGCTCCACACAGATTTCATAATTTGCCGGATTATGATCCGTGAACATCGACCTCGCGAACTGCAGCTCCCCAAACCGATCCTCCACATGGTCAAATCGCCGCATCGAAATCTTGTACGCCGTCTTTGGCACCTCTGCCAGCGCCAGTTTCTGCTTTGTTCCCGCTTCCGTTGTAGGGATCGAACTGCGTCCAAATGGTGAGCTCGGTCGGAACCCGTTCGCCAATGAAGCCGCCGCGGCACCAGCTGCCGAAACCGCCGCGGCACCAGCTGCCGAAACCGCCGCAGAAGCCGAGAAAGACTTGCCCAGCGGCACCGAACTCGCTCCTCCTCCTGTCCCTGCTGATGACTGCGATGCCACCGACGTCGCAGCCGAAGCCATCATCGCCAGCGTCGACGACACCTCCCCTACAACCGTCGTCGCGGTCGATTCCAACAGATACACCGGTGAGGGCGGATACAACTTATCGGAACCCATATCCGCGCGCATCGTCTTGATCAGCGACCACGACCAGTCCTGGTCCTCGGCCTCCTGAAGCTGCCACCGATCGTACTCCGAATACATAGGCATGCTCTGCGACCGCTTCGGGGTTTCTGGGAGATGATCCTTCTTGGGCGGAGACGGGGGCGGTGTCGGCCCTGCGGAGGATGTGTACGTAGTCGATTCGACCTTGGACGCGGCTTCCTGTCGCTCAGCGTTTGGCTTATTTGACGACGCACCGATGATCAGTCGCTTCACAATGTCTTCGACCACTTGTCCTTCCTCATGCAACGTCGTCGCCACGTTCTTGAAATCCTTCAAAAGTCCCAAGCTCAGGGTCGGCACAAGGTCATATTGATGGACGACGGTCGTGATCAGTCCCTGACAATACTTTGACAAGGGGAGCGACATCACACAAGGCGGTCCATAGGCGTAGCAATGAATCGGTCGTCCAGCAGACAATGCCGATCCCGGTGAGGTGACAAACGGAGTCGTGATCTCTGGGTAAATAATACGTTTTCTGGGACGTTGACCTCCATGCGCCTTTGCCGTAATTGGCTTATCCTCGTCCTCATCGCTCGATCCCTCCTCTTCCTCGACGTAAGCCTCAAACTCCTCGCTCTTCATCGACCAGAGCAACGACAGAATCGCCGCCACACCACCACCAAGGGAATGTCCACACAGCACCAGACCATAATCCGGATAATCCTCCAGCGCCTTCTTGATCGTCCTGAAAACCTTCGACGTCTCCAGCGAGAGCAGTCTTGCGGAAGCATACATCCCCGAGTGAACCTTATACTTTGGTGGAGCGTAATGCTCCCCACGCTTGCCGTTGGACTGGAGTGTTGGCAGGACCAGGTCATCATAGTGTGCACAGAGATCCGTCAGCACATCTGACAGGCCAAGCGTCCCGCGACAGGTCAGCACCACACACTGGGCGCCGTGGTCGAGGTTAATGTAATGTACAAGCGAGTGCATCTTCGGTGCATGGAAGCTGCCCTTCGTGCCCGGATCCGTGAAAGACGAGAGCAGGATGGAGTCCAATGGCGTTGATGTATGGGTCGCAAACGCATGATGGTTCGGGTGATCTCCATAGGGTGAGTAGACTGCATCGCCAATGGTTCCAATGCCGAGGATCCTCATAAAGTTGTGTCCATAACTCGCTGATGCATATCTCATGAACCGCTGGATGTTGCGAACGAGATGATCCCTCGGAAAATTCGCCGGGTTTGGTTCCGCTGGTTCCTTCGGCGGTGGTGGTGGTCGCAAGTCCTCATGGTCGTCATCATCGCTAATCTTCACACCCTTCGTCGTCGGTGTCGCGGCCACGTTCTGGCTCGGCAAAGAGTTATCCGAACCGCTTCGGGATTCATCCATCTCTGTGATCGTCAACCGGGGTCCAGTGGAACCATCCAAGCTCCTGCGTTCGGTGCTGTTCTTTCCAAAAGTCGATGACTGTTTCGTCATCTTTGAGAAGAAGGACCGCCCAAACTTCTTGCTCGAGATTCCGTTTTTGAGTCCAAACGCAGAGGGTCCAAGAAGCTTATTGCCATTCTTTTTCTCCAGGGGCACGTCGTACGAAAGCATCGCGCTCATCTCCGTGGACGACATCGTTTCCGAAGACTTCTCGACCTCGATCCAGTCCGTGTCGTCCTCGGACCAATCCATTGAATTCCTAGCTTCACTCGTCCTGATCTCGCGTTCTTGTGACCTTGTCAAAATCGTACCATCGGTCTCTCCGCCCACATGCACAGTCTGGTTCTTCTTGAACTTTTTGGTCACAGTCGAAAACATGAGCCGGAGATTATTGTTGGCCTGACGGCTGCCCTCCACGGCGAGGGATTCAGAGGGACCGGTGGTGTCGGATGGAGTCGATGAGCCGTGTCGGGTAGAGGAGCCGTTGACTGAGCCGTGAGGGTTAGCGACGATGGAGGTGGTCGCATACTGCGTAAGAGTGGTCGCGACCGAGGCAATGGACGACACAGAGCCTCTCCTGGACCGAGCGGTGATCGCCATCGACGAGCTGGTTCCCCTTGTGCTGGATGCAGTTTCAATCGATGTTGGGTAATGGTGCTGCTGCTGCCTCTGCAGTGGCGAAGAAGACGAATCTCTATCATGTTGCTGGATCGGTGGCAATGGCTTCCCGAGCTTTGACAAGTCCGCGCCTGGTCTGACAAATGTCTGTGTCGTCGTAGTCGTCAACGTAGTCGTGGTCGTCACCTGAAGAATATCAGCACTCAACACCTTCTCAATCTGCGTCGTCGTCATATCCTGGGTAACATCATCCGGATCCGTAACAAGCGCATTCGAGAGATTCTTCAGAAGCTCTCCAGAATCATCCTCGTCTTCACCATCACCCTGGTGTGTGCTTCCGATTGTCGCCAGTTGTGTCGGTTCAATATCCGTAATCTTCTTTGGTTTTGCAAGGACGACACCTTCGTAGACAAGCATGGCCCGGATGGTCTTTTGAGTGCGTTTATGGGTTGCGGCCTGAAGACATGCAAAGACGGTGATGGCTTTTGTGATGGAGGCCAGGACGGCCATCTTCCCTGCTTGGGTGATGGCAAACTCCTGGTCTTCGTAGACTTCCTTCTTGACGAGACCTACGACTGCAGCAAGGGCTTTTGATGTTTCCGTCGAGCCAAATAGACCATCCACCACCCGTACCGATTCCTCTGCAGTCTATTATGGCGTAAACATATTTGAATGGGTCGATATGTTAGTAATGTCACCCAGGTGATGTAAAAAGCACATGCTGAGAGCATTATAAATCCCTAGGGGATCCTTCCCCAATCCACCTTTCCCCTCCCCCCACAAGTTAAGATAAATTATAAAAAAGTATATTGCCCGCATGGTTAAAGTGATTAGTGTCAAGAGTCGCGTTCTAATTCCACATCTGCATCCTAGGGAAATCATATGTCGACACGCATCCTCCTACTTCCTCAATCCGCTCACACGGATGGTCATTCTGACGGTTTGTTTTTGTTTATCGTGCGTATCCTCCTTCAAAATACATTTCCCGCCCCCGCCCCCCTCTTTGTCTGCTGTTGTCTCGTGCCGTCATCCCATGAAAATGACAAGGACATGCAGGAAGCATTAGTGCCCATGCCGTTGCACATGCATTTGTTGATGGGCATTTTACACATAGCCCACCGCAGCACAAACAAGCTCAGTGGGTTGCCCAAACCTTGTCCCTGAAAATCGCCTTCAGTTACTCCGTCTCTCTTAGCACTAAAGACAGACGGATGAAAAGCACGAGAAAGAATGAAAAAAAAAGTAGTGGAGTAGGCGGATAGCTGAATCCACAATGGCCTAGTGTTTCCAGCCCCCTATTTTACTCCCATCCTTTTTTTTTTATCTTCTTCTGTTGCTCCTGAGTCACATTTCCATCATTCATACAATGCACGCAAGGAACTAATGAAAGGAGGGCGTTGTTGAGGAAAAGCCGCCCCACACAGGCGCATAGGTTGTGGGTTGTTGTCCATTTGATGTACATGGTTGTGTGTGAATTAGATGCGTTATCTAGACAAGTCGTGCTTATTGAATGATGGCATGCTCGCTTCATTCTATTACCCAGACCAATGTATCCCATCTATTGAAGATCCCCCAACAAAAAAAAAAAAAAAAAACAACAACAACAATACTATAGTCATTTCCCTTTCAGGATCTCTTTCTGTTATAGTGGGATGCGAAGAAGGACGCGACAAAGAAAAAAAAAAAACTTACGCGAATACCGGCTGTCAAGGTATTGGAGACGAGCTGAAGACCGGAGATGGTGAACAATTCTGCTAGAGTAAACGAATGATGGATAACATAGACGCCCAACGATGTGTATTTGTCCAACAGCATCGTAAACGCATCGCTATTCCGCGATTGATCGCAAAGTAAAAAAAAAAAGTCAGCAAAATAGTATGGAGGAAGGGCAGATGGAGAGGGGGTGTCAGCGGATGAGTTGATGTGGCACCAGCAGAATTTATTTCCGAGGAGACGTACTTTGGCCCTGCAGATCCCTTGAGGACGTTCAGAATCTTTGCGGTCGATACTGCAGCGAGCAGTGATCTACGACTGATGCCAAGAGTGGCACTTGTACCATGCTGCAGTGTCTCCAACAGCGCCTGAATGATTTTTTTGAAGCCGGAGTAATGGAAGAAAGTGTCCGTTAGTTTAGTGAAATTTGTATTCCCGCTCAGGTAAGCTGCTGCAGGGTCTGAGTCGATACCCAGGTACCAGATACGAAGACGGAAGATGGAGAGCGCGAGTGATTCCTGAAAGGGTTACTCATATCTCAGACTCAGTACTTTGGCCCTGCTTTGCCCTGAATATCTATTTGATGGGTTCTAAACACTTGCCTCGACTATGATGGCGGCTGTCCGGAGGGAGACTCTTGCGCCCAGGCTCACAGTCGAGATCATTGTGGCTATGGACTGGGGCAAAAACGGTGCAGAAACCTCCATTGTGAGTGCCGAGAGAGGGTGCAGAGGGGGAGAGAGAAGGGCGGCGGGAAGAGGTGGGGTTGGTAAAGGTGTTCCAAAAAAAAATCAAAGGTGTGCCTTTTCGTTGGGGTACAGACAAAAAGAAGCGAGACAAGGAAGTGCGAGTGTTCAGTCCAAGATGGATTTAAAAGGAGAGGGATCAAGATGATGAGAAGAGTGTCGAATGCAGAGTGGAGATGCAGCTGTTGAATGAGAAGGAGAAGGAGAAAGAGAGAGGAAGAGAGTTAGAGTGACAAAGTGGGAGAGAGAGGGACGAGAAAGAGAGAGAAAGAGAGAGAAAGAGAGAAAGAAGGAGGGAGGGCCACCGATGAAGAGCTGAGTGGTTGGAAGATAGACTAGTCCACGACCATAGACTATAACCAGCCAGGGGATCGCTTTTTTTTCTTCTTTTTGTAACACCTTGAATGGGCACTGGGATCGCTTCCCCATGCAGTGCAACAAAACACGCCATTGCGGATAACAGCTAGGCTATGACTTCAGCATTAGGGTAGTCCAGTGGTGTCTAGTGGACAAAGAGGCAGCTGGTGCATGTTTGCACCAAAAGAGAATCCAATCAGTCGATCGCACTCTCGTCTCCCCGCCCGCGTGCGGAAGCGCGAGTGTGTAAGTAAGCAAGTGGGCGGAAAGGGTCTTTGCTTGAAATCACACGGCCACGTATCATAAAATCCACTCCATACGTGACTCTCTTTTATCTTTCGCTTCTTTCTTGCCCTGCCCTGCCCTGCCCCCTCATTCCTTCTCATCGTCATTCGTCATTACCACCCCACGCTCCGCAATCCCAATCAACCTTGCCCTTTGACACACACCCCATCTCTCCAACACCAACACCGGCACCCATGGCCGATTTTCTCTCTGTAAGCCGCCTCTTCCGCACTCCGTCTTTGCCTTCGTAAATGTTGTCTTGGCATTCGCAAACTCACCTTATCTATTTCCTCTTTTTGACTAGCGCGCAGTCGAGATGGTGCGGCGAGCAACTGAGGAAGACACCAAGGGGAACATGGAAGAAGCCCTATTATTGTATCAAACTGCCTTTGAATACTTTCTCACCGCACTCAAATGTACGCTCAAACCATGTCTCAGTACCTCTTTCCTTCTGTGTGCAGCATATTACTACGTATATATCATCTTTGACCACTAGTTAACCTAACCCACAAATAGACGAAAAGAACGAGCGCGTGAGGGACACGGTTCGGAAAAAGCTCGTCGAGTACATGGCCAGGGCCGAAAAGATCAAGATGCACTTGGCCAAGCTGGAGGAAAAGCCTAAAAAGAAGGCCATGGCCGCATCCTCCAACATCATTCATGGACGAGGCAACAAGTATGTCATTTTCTCTTTTTAATCGTATTTGTGCTTGCTGTATTCCCTATATCTCACCACCACGTACTACATTCAACTTTCCATTATATTGCATAGGAAAAAGGACAGTGACGATTCGGATGATGAGGATGCGGATACAAAGAAATTAAAGGACGCATTGACATCCGCCATCTTGACGGAGAAACCGAACGTCAAGTGGTCCGATGTCGCAGGACTTGATGCCGCAAAGGAATCACTAAAGGAGGCTGTCATCCTTCCTATTAAATTTCCTCACTTGTTCACAGGTGAGTGCATCAGCCAACCAACAACTCTCGTCAAACAGGATATTGCACGTACTTGACTTTAGCACGAATATATGTCGTCTATAAGGATGCTAAACGATCCAAATTTCTTTTCTGCGTTGGTCAATAGGAAATCGTGTGCCATGGAAGGGTATCTTGCTGTATGGACCACCGGGAACAGGAAAATCGTTTCTGGCCAAGGCAGTTGCAACAGAGGCCAATTCGACCTTCTTTTCTATCTCTTCATCGGATCTCGTCTCAAAATGGATGGGAGAATCAGAGAGGTACACCAGAACCCATTCGCGATCAAACGGGCATTCGATATTTTATACCACAAATATGCATCTAACATTATATGTGTTCATTTCCCAATTAGGCTGGTGAAGCAATTGTTCCAGATGGCCCGAAAGAGCAAGCCCGCGATTATTTTTATCGACGAAGTAGATTCACTGTGCGGATCGCGTGGCGAAGGAGACAGCGAGGCATCGCGTCGTGTCAAGACAGAGATTTTGGTGCAGATGAACGGTGTTGGCAACGATATGGATGGCGTCCTCGTCCTTGGCGCCACCAATATCCCATGGCAGCTGGATGCTGCCATCCGAAGACGGTAGGTGTTTCTTGAAGGCATATATTATCCCAATGGGTGTTTTCATATCGATATGAACAATTTGTCTGATCGGTTTTATTTTTCTAATTCTTGTTAGATTTGAGAAGAGGATTTATATTCCGCTGCCGGATGCGCATGCGAGAGCAAAGATGTTTGAGCTGAATGTCGGCAAGACGCCCTGTGCGATTACATCGCAGGATTATAAGTACCTCGGACAAATCACAGAAGGGTATGGAGCTCCTAACAGGACCTAACAGGGCATAAAGAGCATTATGTCTCAGTAGTTCATGGGAATACGGACGAGTGTCAGGATTTGACCTCCCTACCGCAATATCATTTATTGAATAGATACTCTGGATCGGATATTACAATTGCTGTGCGAGATGCACTGATGATGCCAATCCGTAAAGTGCAGGCGAGCACACATTTCAAGTGGGTTGATGCGCCTTCACGTGCGGACCCTGGAAAGATGACGAAGCATCTGACGCCGTGTTCGCCTGGTGACCCTTCGGCGTTGGAAATGAGCTGGGAGCAAGTCGAGAGCGATCAGTTGCTGGAACCAACGTTGGGGATGCAGGATTTTTTGAGGGCGGTGAAGTCTGTAAGGCCGACTGTCAGTGCGGATGATATTGTCGAGCACACAAAGTTCACGCTCGAATTTGGAAGCGAGGGATAAACCGGAAGTGAGGGATAAACCATGGGCGTGGTCGAGTCAAGTTCAAGGGCTATCGTAGTCGTCATTAAAGTTTTCCTCACTTTCTCTCTTCGGTAGTTGGAGAAAATGGGATTTTATTTCTGGCAGTGAAAACCAGCATTGACCTAATTATATATATAATGCTTTTTGAAGGATGGTTGGCTAATCGCTAATCAATGCCTAAAATAGAGGATGGTACCGAGGGGCGGTAGATTCAGGGACCAGTAACGCTTTCAACAAGCAAGACAGTATGGCTGATGTGCTAGAGCTTGTGCGTCTGGCAGTCTAGCTATCTCTTCCCACTCATTTTTACGAGATACTGGTCTGCATCTAGGCGATTTTTGAAAGACCTTACGGAGATCACAGTATTCATGAGCTCACGGTCAACTTCAGTAACCTTAGGTTTTCGCCTATTTTCTTATTCTCAAGAGACGATGGACTTGAAGACCGCACGCGGCCTTGTAATGCGTTGTGCGGAACTGGAATATATATAGTCGTCTACGCGTAAGTTGCGCTTTCCGTCCAAGTGGTTGTACTTGGGAGTGCGGTGTCATCTTTCAATCAGGTTGCTGGTGTCGCTAGTTCGATGGCTCTATTCCAAAAAATGCGACATAGCCACGTTAATAAATGAGAGCATCGTCATGAAAGTGGATAGCAATCTTCCGAGGTGCCCATATTTCGACACAGGAATGCCCATCTCGGCATAATTCTGTCATCGATCTATTTCTTCTCTGCGTATCTGATAAAGACGGCGAATGTCGAGAAGCGCTCTTTGAACTAGCTCCACAGCTCAAGAAACTCATCTTCGGTACTCACTCTTTTTAGTTGTTATAGGAACAGACGCATCTCGTTTTCGACTTCCATCTAACATCGCATCGAAAGAACAGGAATACTGAGTTAGCACAGAAAGAGACTCGAGAGGACGACATCCCAGGCCTCCTTGGGGCACTAGGGACCAATAGAACTCAGCTCATAACCCTAGACATGGTCTCCAGGGATTATTACAACGCCAATATCCTCTTGCTAGAGTGTGCCAGCAACTTCGGCATTATCAAATATTTGGATAACGATGGTAGTGTTCACTGAAAAGATGCCAGCTGTCTGTGTTACTTGTGCGGGCTTATTCTAACCATTATTTTATTATTTAAATGCTGCATCGATGCTGCAGCAGTATCTGTCTCACAATCTGGTCACTGGCAAGGGCGTAGAAGCGGAACGCTTGATGCTTCGTTAAGAGGGTTTGCAGACTGAGCCGCCAGTCCAGTCCTTGATAGCGCCCACGTACCAGAATCTTCGTTCCAATTTCGATCGTCTTCAAGACCAGTATACCGAGAATCAGAAGGTGCTGCGAGATGAGCGTCCAACGAAGAAAAGGCGCAGGTCATTAGTGCTCTGTCATTAAATGCTGGACCATACTTGCCTACATATTTCGACAAAATGCAAAGATGACTGTGGGGCCGACGCGAATGGCGAAGGACGGGAGGGATGATATGGAAGGTCAAGACGGTGTTCAAATCAATTCCTTGGTATGCTATTGCGATATCTCTATTTAGGCAATCTCCTTATCAAAACGCAAATCGGCCAGTGCACGCAACGGTTCATCGATCGAGCACAGGACCTAGTCTTGCTAGACAAAGAGAATGGAGTTGCATTAAGGACATACCCAGGATCACCATTGGTACGAGCCGTTGTCTCACAGCTCTCAACAGAGCTCAAGCGAATCTACAGAAACGGAACTTTGGAGCTCTATAACAAGGTAAAGAATTTTATCGACTTTAGTCACCTTTGGAGTTTAACAGCACTAATCTCGCTCTTGCCAGATGGGCGCAGCATCGAGACTCGAAGCGACATCTCGACGATCGAAAATTTTATCTACTAGAGCCAAATCAGCAAGAACCCCCGCAGGCTAGTCCTCGTAACGCCCATTAGCCAGCGTATCTTTTGGAAGAGTGAGGGTGCTCAAGAAATAACTCAGAGGGCTAATTGGAACAACGAGTTATGATCCTGCGCTTGCAGACGCAGAGTCTTGACTGACCGAGTAAAGACCAGGGTCCCACGCTACAAGGCTGCTCACAGCTGTAGGAAGAGGCGAATGCAAACGGCATCAGTCAGGAAGCTCGAATGACGCAAGGCAACAGTGATGTTTATGAGCGAAATGCAACAGCATCTTACGTTCACTCGGCAAAATAACTTTGATCAAAGGACCTACAACAAACACTGCTATCACCTACGGGGGGGTCCTTTCGGCCTGGTGGGCTCCGACTTCATGTGCTCGATTACAAGTTGAGGGAGCTATAGTAAGTTTAATGCCGGCGGTTCTTGAGAACGTCTTGCCACGTCGAATTACGTTCATCATCGGACATGGATTACTATACGACCGAGGCTCGAAACGTTGACAAGACGAAGATCTTTGGAGGTGTAAGCCAGTGTGAATCGAGATCCTCGGTCCCAATACCGGTCATGCATGTGTACTAGGGGCGTGTTGTTGCCTAAGGAGGGTCGACATGAGCAAGACGACGATATCATCATGAGGAACCATACGATGATACTATTCAGCCCTCAGTCCCCGTCACTTATCACAATTTGGCTATCAAACAGGTGGTACACCGGCCAACCTTCAAATACCGACGTTGATTGGAAGAGCACAAACGAATGGACCTAGTCGGGGCAACAGAATCTATCAGCGACATCGTGCCCAGGCGAAAAGACCAGATAATAATGACGAGCCCAGGGACGACAAGAACGAAGGATTCGACTATACTGCATTGCCCCCTAACAACTGGGAGCCCCATTGTGACTTCATGAATCACAAATTTATGTCGTCGAACCATGGGATCACGTCCTCCTCTCTTCACGTCCTCCCCTTTGTCATGGCAGTTACATTCTTCGCAGTCGATCCCCAAAAAGTCGATGGCAGCGAGCTATCCCTTGCACCCGAGCCTTCCTCCTCTTCTTCACCGTCCAGCTTCATCATAATATGGCGTTTGATCGTTTGTCAGGACACCACAACTCCCGAAGGACTCTACCTCCCGCTCGACAGCACACTTCTCGTTGATGCCCTCTCGACCCTCTTCCCCCAGCTATCAACGAACTATATCGCAGGCCCGGACCTTGCGACCCTCACATCCTGTCTCGCCCGGACCGATACATTCACCTTATTCCTTGCCACAGAAACTACGTCCCGCCTTCTCCTCGATACCCCTTCTTCTTCTTCTTCGGATACCGTAGTGCCAAAGATATCCCTCAAGATCGAGAGCATCGTCGGGTGCTTGACCCTAATTACCCTGAAGCTGCTTATGAACTCTCGTGCGCATATCGAGGATCTCGTTGTCTCGAATGCCTGTCGTGGAAAGGGTGTCGGCCGTGGGTTAATGAAGCGGGCACTCAAAGATGCTGCGGGGACGCATGGATGTATGATGGTTGATCTCACGAGTAAACCAGACCGTGTTCAGGCTAGAGCCTTGTATGAGTCCTTGGGATTCCAGATCAGAGACACAGGTGCCTTTCGGTACTATGCCCCTGCCACTACTACTACTACTACTACTACTACTACTCAGAGCTGACAATAAAGCCAATCAGCACGTTCTACGTTTTTTTATATTTATTTGTATCAACGTGTGACCCAGAGAAAAAGAGAAAATGTCGGTTAACGATATAGTTCGGGTTCTAATGAAGCCGGGAAAGCTCTTCGACGAGCTTGGTGATCTCCTCCACTGGGACCTTGATCGGCTCACCGTCCTCGGGCCCTTCAAGAACATCATTGATCTCGTCCTGGCTCAAATCCAGGAACAGCTCTATCAAATCCCCGTCCACAAAATTCGTCGACGGCAGTGTCCTCGCATCGCTTCTGAACTGCCTCCATCTAATTTTTCATACATTTCACAAAGCAACATATCATAACGATTAGTTCATGATCCAAAATATTAATAAAAGCAATAAGAATAGATGTAATAAGCATAACTTACGAGGCATGATCGAGTCCGCCGACGCCCTTGATTACTTTCGACATGTTGCTTTCTAGACGACGGAGTAGCTCGTATTTCTCCGGTGTCAGCGTCGCAACAACGCCAATCGCTCCGCTGACGGTCGCAAACAACAGTTTCGGGACCGCAGGCGCATCACCCTCTTGGTTCGTCATCACCAAAGAACCTAAACAATTAAACATGAGCCAACATCCTTGTCAGGATATGGATGTTGCTAATCGCACCGCACATCATAAACCAAAACTCGAGTAAAACTCACCATGCTTGAACCGGTTGATCTGGTCCCCAAGATGCCATCCTCCAGACCATTGCAAACGCTTCGCCTCATCCTCGTTTGTTGTCTCTGTGTTCTTCACCAGCGTAAAGATACTCGACGCATTATTCGCCGCAATAAACGTCTCATCATCAATCGCCTCCAGCGCCGTCAGCATATCCATGCATCGATCCCTCGCAATCTCCACAATGTTATTGTCCGTGTACCGCAGAAGCGTCATGCTCCGGATCAGATCGCCCGCCACAATGAACTCTCCATGGATCGCCAACGACAGGATCATAATAAATCCGCGATGAGAACACTCCTGTTTGAGCAAGGAATCCGTCGTCAGCTTCTCAGACGGATTCCATGAATAAAGGCACAATCGCTCATTGATCCCGCATAGCAGCTTTCCCTGAAATTCTTTGATCGACATCACCCCTCCCTTGACTTCCAGTTCGGTTACCAGCTTGAGCTGACTGTTCTCCGAAACCTCCAGAATCAAGATACGACCCTTGCTAGGAACTCCTTCAGAGACAGAATCTGCAGTTCCAACCGCAATGTAGCTCGTTGAGCCTCCAGCAAATGTCACAGCCGCAATACACTGAGGCGCCTCGTCCCTCTGCAGCTCATATGAATGCAGCATATCAAAGGTCTGGTCGTCATGGAGTCGCACAAACCCAACCTCTTCCTCATCACATGTCACGACTCTGGAACTACCCACCGCCTCAGGTTCCTCATTCATGATCCGGATCGAAAGCACTCCAAAGCACTTCCTCGAGGCTAGATATGCGATCCGTCGTGGGCTCTCGTGGATCGGGAACGTTTGGACATGCAGCTCCTGGAACTCATCAATGCTCCCGATCCGCAGGACTCCCTCCTCGTCCGATCCAACAATTGCTAACGCGTTTGGAAACACCTCACAGTTGAATGACGCGACTGTGGCAACCTGCTTCAGGTTAACATTTGAGTACAACAGCTTGCGATTGGAGCTGTAAATCACTGTCGGTCGGTCACTGCAGGCAAATACATGGCTCGATGCCCCTCCTGTTCCATTTCCGCCCTGGTTAGGCGAGATATGACGCAACATGATCGGTTGCGTGCCAAGCGAAATGCGTTTTGGAGTCGGGAGCGTGCTCAAAGCGGCATCCAAAATAAACGTCAGAAGCTGCCCGTCACCTAGATCCATTGGAAATCAACCAGTCAACAGAAGGTCTACAGCAGCTTCAGCAGAGATAGAGGAATACCGAGTTTAATGCTTACCGAGCCCCGCCAGGAGATATGGTACGCCTTCAAATCTTGAAAAGAGCAATGAGCGAGGAAGAATCTCGCCAGGCAGATCATGACTAGAGAGAATCTCCATCGTAGGTAGGCGAACCAGGATAACCTTGATATCCGTCCACAATCCCACTGCACAAACCTGAGAAGTATGGGGGTTAGCAGAATCGATGGAGGTCACATCGACACAAGCAATCTCGTTCTCAAACGTCCTGCGGCTATGATAATGAAAGAGCGAATCAAATTGTCTTAGTACCTGTAGACACAGAGCATCCTTCAGCCAGCCTTCGCATCATAAAAAGCAGTCCAAAGGTACCTACCCAACTTCGTGAATGGCCTCCGATCCGACGTCCAAGTAAACAAGTGTCTTGCCGCCGACCGCTACCAAGCACTGGGTTCCATTCATGGATGCCATAGAGACAACTTGTCCGTTTGGCGGATTCCATTCAGAGATCAAGCCAGTCTGGATATGTCGTGACGGCGCGATCAGACGAACGGACTCTGGAGTGACTTGAAGGATCAGGTTTGCCTGAACATTGCCACTCAACAAGGTTTGCGACTCGTTCAGGAATCCCTCCATCTCTTCCTGCACCATTTCTGCATCTGGGGTAACACGAACCACTCGCGTTGAGTTTAGGAAGCTCATGACAAGTGTATCTTCCGATGTCGCCTCTAAACCTTCCTTCAACGACCAGAGACCCTTGATTCCCGGAAGTTCCAGTACTGCGCGGTCATTGATACCGACGCCGTTTCGAACAATCCGTAGGGAGCCATCCTTAAATGCTCCTGAGCATGCCACAATTTGACCCTATTCGGATTTAGCAAAGTTGACAAAGATGTCGATTAAGCGCCTGCAAAATTCAGCAAGAAAAATATTAAAGAAGCGGACGTCAATAAGAGTGATTTGCCTACCTGGCCTTGGCCTTCCAGGTCGACGACATCAAAATCAGCAACGGGTGCAATGTTGGTAAACGTCTCCATGATTTCCAAATATTCGCCATTCTGATCCGCTTCCGTGTGCAGCAAGACTAGCTGCGAATCGCCCAAGTGCGATCCTACAAAGACATGGTCGTTGTCGAGATAGACGATTGCCTCAGGGATGGATGTTGTACCCAGGCATTCAAACTTGAGGTCCACCACTTGGAAGGGGCGGCTCGAGTGTGAGGAAGAGGACCCGGACGAATTGTTTAAGATCAGCACCAGGATGTAAAGCATGCCCTTATGGTCACCAAGGAGGTAACGGATTCCTTGGTCATCCACGCGGTTATGGCATTGCATGATCGTCGCATTGATAGTGATTGAGTGAGGAGCAGCAAGCTGTGCAGGGTTGAAGTATGAAATCGAGTACTCGCCGACCACAAGGAATCCGCCTTAGGGTTGGAGAGTCCAGATCAATAGAGACAAGGTAGCTAGTTAGAAAGAGATTGGTCTTCAAAGAACATATCATGAATAAGAAAGCGAAAGTTGAAATAATTCGCTTACCAATAGGCGATGGTACTGCGATGCAGGCCCTTGCTCCACTTAGACCGCTTTGAATCCATCCCGTCTCGGATTTTTCATTCGTTTTCAGATCAAACTCATATGTCTTGACGTGCCGAACCTCCTTCTTATCTTGGTACAGTACTGCAAGAGTCGGGCGTTGGACGCCATCTAAAAAGACCATCGACATGATTGTGACTTCCTCGATCGGCAAGTTATAGTGCTCCAAAAAGGTCTTGTCCGCAGCCTTTGCATTCGATCGGAAAGAGTGTGCTGTGCTATTGCGAGCTGAGGACGACTGTTGTTGCGGCTGGCCATTGGGTCCTGACTGGGTAGGTGTACTGGGATTGACAGTGATGCACTTTAACAGCCCTTGGTAGAGATGGCAGCAAACGAGAGACGAAGTCGGGTCAATGATCACGATCTGGCCAGCCTCAGAGGGTCTGGAGTGGCGATCATTGAGATCTGTAAGCGAGTCCGAGACGATGTTGAACTGCGGAGTGCCGGCGCTTATTTCTCCCGCTCCCTCAGCAGACAACAGTCGTAGCGATAGAGTCAACATTTGATAGTGCGTCGTCGTCACCAAAAGCATGTCCGTCGTATGTCCCTACATATAAATCATTCGGCGCAGGGAGTAGAGACAAGCACAAGTCAGAGAGACGCTATTAAAGCACGTCGTTCTTTCCAGGTGATCAGTTTGGCATTGAAAAAAGAGGGTTATGGGAGCATTCATGCGATGTATTGGACTGGATTACATACTTGAGGTCGAAAAGGCTCGAGGCAGGCGATTTCGCCATAAAGCCCAAACTCCTTAACCAGCTTGAGTCCATCACGTCCGATAATATACACTTCGATCCGCGTCCCTTTTCTAAAAAGGCGTAGCGATCGCAAAAAATTGCATTGGTGGCCGTAAGCGGTAAGTTCTTTGGAGCCTTTACTTCAAGGATGGCCTCAGGAAGAAGGTAGAATGCGCGCTCAGTTTCAGTTGTCCCCTTACCCAAGAATGAGGTTTAGATCTTCTGGACCGGTGAAGTTGCCCTTAATCGCCTGGAAGACTGCGCTCGACTTTCGAGCTGTGAAGACGATATTCATGGGTTACTGTCGGTCGAATGCGCAAGTGAACAAGGTGTATGTGAGGGGAGTGGTTTAGTGTTTTTGTTTTAAGAAAGTATGACAAAGGCGCAGTTTAGGAGTTTAGTGCTTCTTTGTTGAAGGGGAGTAATGAGGATGAAAGGACGAGAAGGCGAGAGGATAGACCACGACGAGAGATCTAGTTAATGCTAAATGTGGAAGCAGAGCTGTACGCACGAAGGAATGAATGGATTGACAGAGCGACGAGGAGTGAACGCTCCTTTTGTCGCGCTTTCTCAAAAACAGTCTTGATATCCAAATCAGCTGACTGAGCGTAGAATGCGGACGCGTTTCTCCTCCATTGGCGACGCGACAAAGTGAAAAGCGCTGAACAACAGAAGATTGCTTGCGAATGCATTCATTGTGCATATAATAGTTTTATTGAATTGGACGATAAAGCAGGAACCATCTGGCATAAAGGCAAGCAAGATGCTGACAAAGGGCCTAGTAAGCAAGCGGAAATTCCTATATGCCTGATGTGATCTGATATGGTTGTTGCACAAATGCATGGCACACACGTTGTTTTCGCTTTTTGCCTTTTATTTTTCCCAAGACAAATCCATCTGTGAATACATCGAACGGCGTCTCCTCAGAACTCTGTATAGAGTATGCATCATTGGAATATCGATATTATTAAGCATTGGGCCGGAAGAGCGAATGCGGATGTTGTATACATGTCCATTGACGTGGCAATCCAAGTAGGTGTGGATGGCTTCTCGTCACAAAGGACCTTCTTTTTGCTCGATCTCCTCTTTGTGCTGGATGCTGCTGGATTATATTTAGAGCATAACCTTTGTCCCAGGAGACATTAGGATCACTACTGTCATCCATAAACATACAGTAACATGCTGAAGATTAAGCATTGCAACCCAAACCGGTCGTTTCTGACTTTTTTCGCTGCTCCTACCGCACGATTGAAAACGCTCTGACCTCCGAGAACATCTGTGGACTCTTGGTCCGGAATGGGAGCCTGAATCGGGTTTACTCTTAACCAATGCAGTTATATGCAACCGAAGTGGTTGGTGCTCACATTTGCATTTGCGTGTTTTGCGTTTGCGTTACATAAAAGTGCGCCATGTCGGCCAATGACGCCTCCCTGACGTTGTGCAATCGAGCCCTCCAGAAGAAGGGAGAGGCCAAAGGGTACAAGCAGGGACGGGGCAGGGAGATGGATAGAGAAATAATTAAGGATCTGGAAGCACTAGTCTAGGTATGAGTAGCCAGGCACAGAGTCAAGGAATTTGATTGTTATTGTTTATTTCGTTTGTTTGTTTGAAAAACTAAACAATCCTTATTCTGATCTCTCCTTAGTCCAGATGTTTCCTTGCGCTGTATCCGGGTATGCCCTTGCTGGAGTATCAGCGATGATGTGCGTGATGGCTGAAAAGTGGGAATTAAGCGACAGCGGTTTATGATCCCACAACAGATATAGTGCAGTTACCACTGTCCTTCCTACCGCTGAGATGTAATGGAGGGAGAGAGGACTAACAACATGCAGCCATTGATGGATAGTGGTGGCGGTGGAACGCATGGAAACCAAGGACGCCATGCATTTGAACACGACCCAAACATTCGAATGGGTGGTGTTCCACCCCTGGACCTCTTCTCGGTGTCTCGGGCAGAAGGAGATCTCATCGCTAGTTTGCGAAGTATGAACTGGAGTGAGAGCACTCTTATTTATTGATGCTACGATTCAAGGCGCCCACTGGTATATGAATGTATAGGGATGTACTTGTCCCATCGATAACCATAATTCATTTATCCACCGCATCCTTGACCAGTTGACTCTTCCAAGAAGAGTGTCATGATACAACAAACAATAAGGGTTATAACCTTCCTCCATGCCCTGTTGTCTTCCAGACTGATGACGATGGGTGGGGTATAGTTGCAATATGCGTGAGAGTGAGCAAAAAAGAAAAGAGAGTCTGGACGGGTGAAAGGGCCTGTCCATTAATGCAATCAACTAAGATATTAATCTTTTTTCTTTTTTCTCTTTTTTCCTTTTTTCTGATTATCTCCGATTCTGTTGCGATTCAACCTCATATCTAACACTCACACTCATACTCACACTCACTGGTGTCCATTGTCCCTCTCCGCAAGCACATAACCATCAAAGGCAAGACTCCTCTTCCTGCCCCCCCACTCTTCTTGTCGCCCCGTCTTGGCGACTTTGTGCGTGGGTCTGCCCCTTGACTTTTCTTTAATTTCCTGCATTACGGACAAACGACAGAAACAAAGACCAGCAGGGAACAGCAATAGCAGCAACAACACCAACAACACTTGCACCTGTGCTCAGCTTACTCCCCTTCCCTTTGATTCAAGCAGGCAAACCTGCTTATTTCTTCCCAGCAGGAGCCACATAAGCATAATAATCACACCAATGACAGTATTCACCTTTGAAAGAGAAGTGGAAAGTGATTGCCTTTGGGGACGATGGGGAATGTGAATCAGCAATAAACAGCACAACACTATTGCCCCAAAAGAAAGTGCCATTGCGAATGGAATCACACACAAAGGAAACTAACGCTGTCTCTACCATTTCTTCTTCATTCCCTTTTTTTTTTTTTGTTTCGCTCATTTCGTGCCACTCGTCCCTGTTCCTGTTCCTGTTCCTGTTCCTGTTCCTGTTCCTGTCCCTGTTCCTGCTCCTGTTCCTATTCCTGTTCCTGTTCCTGCTCCTGTTTCTGTTTCTATTTCTATTCTTGTCCCTGTCGCTCGTGTCTTCCAATGCACCTGCAAATATGCGCCACACACTTCATTTTCATATGTACTAGACAGCAGCCTGTGCTCCGCTTCCTTTTTTTCTTTTTTTGCCGCCAAATATTCAATCGACGACTTTCCCAAACCATTCAGCACGCGACAACGGAAATAACCTTTTTCCCCTAAATAATCCCTTGCACAGAATAAAAAATGTCGGTGACCTGCACCAATTGCGGGGCCGCCGTGCAACTGACGGCCTCAAGTCTCAACCACCAGCAACAGCACAATGACCCTCTCATCCCCTTCGTCAAGGCCCAGATCGACGACCTTACGGCCCAAAACTCAAGTCTCGTCGCCGAGAACGACTCGTTGGCCAACAAACTCGTCGAGTCCACAGAGGGACGTATGGACCTTGACCAGCAGCTCAATATTGCTCAGATGGAACTTCAAGCTGTCCAGTCCGAGCTCAAGACACTCAGGGAGAATCAAAAACATTATGACCAGCTGTTAAGCATGATCCAATCCGGCCAGTTGATTGAAAAGAAGGACGTGCAGCCCGTGATTGAGAACCTGGCTTACGAATCCCAACGCAGGTCCCAGATCGAGACTTCCAAAATGAAGCTGGAGTCTGAACTCGAAGATCTCAGTCGGAGTTTGTTCGAGGAGGCAAATCGCATGGTCAATGAGGAGCGGCAGGCAACGTACTTGGCAGGAAAGAAGGTTGAAGGACTGGAGCGACAGCTGGACGAGGTCTTAGACCTGTGCAAATCTGAGCGGGATCAGCTCGTGGAGCTGAAGCTGAGGATGGGCAAGTTGTCGGACGAGAATGACATGATCCAGCGGGAGCGAGACGCGATCGAGTTTGCGTTTATTCAGCTTCAACAACAAATGCAGCAGCAGCAACAATATCACCACAGCCCTATGGTGATGCATCATCACATGTCGGCGACAGCGGCAGCACGCCGTGGAATGCCCGTCAACATCGCTAGTTCCCCCACAATCACAGGCGCTTCTCTTAGTCTGAATGTAGAAGCTGCAGCAGGATCGAGGAAACATGTTCAACAGATTCTCCAGTACGACGCACGGCAACATCGTAGCTCCGCATCGAGCGTACGGTCAAAGACGGACTCTTGCTATTTTTCGGATGAAGACCACCCGGGATCACATCTGCTTAATGACCCGATCGAGGACAGGATCCCGATCCTAGGATTCCATCTTTGGGATCCATCTTTCATTGAATTCAAGACATATGTCGAGGGCATTTTCGATGCGGGTGCGAGTACGGGCACGTCTACCAAGTCAGGCACAGCATCAGATATGGGATCTAAAACAAACCAGCAATCTACCGCACCCTCCACCACCTCTTCCGCTCTCACCTCAATGTACTCGTTCAATATCATGGCCAAGACCCCGGCCGCGCCAACAGCCAATGTCATGATTCCTATCAGTAGTCTGCTGTCGAACTGCCGTCTCTTGAAAAAGATATCGTCCGAGGATGTTGAAGCGACTCTGAGGTTCGAGCCAGGAAACCTTTTGTCATGGACTCAGAGGAAGCGATTGATGGCTGCAGTGACCGAGAACACTCTTGTTGTGGAGGCCGTGCCCATGAGTTCAGGTTTAGGCTTCAAGGACCAGACCCATTCGCCTGTCGCAGCCACTCATCCCCAGAACCAGCAACGTGGATCCTCCATCGCTCAGCCGTCAGTTACCACCAGCAAACCCACCTGCGCCCTTTGCGGGATCAGCATCACGACGCCACTCTATTACCAGTATCGCCTCACGGACAGCTCAACGGAATCGAAGACGATTTGCCCATACTGCCGGACCCGATTGACATCCGTCTGTACATTCTACAGTGTCCTGCGCATGATTTCGAAGCGCATCATTTCTAGCACAACGACACCCGAGAAGTTGTATCTGGATTTCTTAAGGATCCGGCTGAGCATGTTTTTGGCCCGCTGCGGTGTGGGTATCGTCACGGGCGAGGAGGCCAAGCAGAAGCGAGAAAGTATGCGTAGTCAACTCATCGGTGTCCCTACTACCAGCATCACTCTGTCTCCTCGCGTTCCGGCAGTCCAACATGCCACAACCTCAACTACCGCGACGAAAAGCGCACAAAATAATTCACAGCGGGAACCAGCTCCTGCGAATATTATCACGACAAACATTACGCCTACCCAAGCAACGCTTATGAACAAGAGTCTCTCAACCAGTGCCGGTCCAAGGGAGACTGCGACTATCAAGGAACAGGATGAAGAGAGTGCTGCCAGTACTTATCATCACGACAGTAAAATCAGCAGCCCTGTCGAGGTCATAGTCGGACCCAAGAGCCCCTGAGACCGACTCTGTTTTTAATGATCCACTACACACCAAGCGGTGCTAAATGACCCACAGCCGCATAGCCCTCCGCTTCCCTTTTAGTTGTAACATTCCATTTCTTGTAGATTATAATTTTTTCATGATAACGACGATGGATGCAAAATAAATACAGGATCGATACCCATCTCGAGACCAGAGATACATTGACTGTGGGTTGTCAAGTATGCGAACGTTGCTTCGTGAATTAGTCTATTGAACAAAGGTGCTGTCTCTAGGACTTTTTTTGGCCATAAAAATATGCTCATAAACATTTCCTTGCGTCTCCTTCCTTAAATGATTCACCACTTGGCCGTTTTTCCAAGTCCGTACTTCTCCAAAACCTTCTCAGCGCCCTGCAAGTTCTTCGTCAGACCCTGTCCCACGATCGTTACCTCGCCCGATCCGCCCGTCACCAACCCGACCTGGCCACCAAACACCCTACGAGCCACACGGACCATATCCTGCCGGGTAACCTTCTCAATTTTTGCACACAACTCCTCTACGGGGACCTTGTACCCATGGACCTGGACCTGCCTTCCCAGATCCTCAAGCTGGACCATTTTTGACTCTAGGTTCATGAGCACGCTTGACCGGAGCTGGTTCTTTGCCCGATCGAGTTCGCCCTGCGCAATGCCGCCCCGACCTGTACGTGTCGTCAGCTCCAATTCGCGGACGATAACTTCCAGGAGCATGGTCTCATAGCCCGGGTAGCACGATCCAGAAATGCCAAAAAGACCTGAATCCGAGTAACAGTGGTTAAAGGACATACAGGACTCAATCCAATTGTAGTGGTTCAGGACGTTGACAAACAATCGTGAGTACATGCCCTTGCCTGGCCCGCCTGCCGAGAACGAACTTCCACCGCCCATCAGTAATTGCAAGGTTGCCAGCGCATAGATATCGTCGTCATGAATCGACAACCCCTCGAAACCAACAAAGAGATGGGTAAAGGGCTGGCTGTCGTCCTCGATCAGAAGTGTGCCTCCTGTGTACTTTGCAGGCTGACGGCTCAATGTCTCGTAATCGGGGGTGAGCACCGTCGATGAGGACTCGGTCTTGCCGCCAAAGAGTGACTTGAACAATCCGCCCTTCAAGGATCCTGGACTTGATCCTGCTGCTGTTGATTCTCCTGATGCATCCTTATCCCTATCTGATGATCCAGTTGCAGCAGGGCTTTTCATATCTCCAAACAACTTCACAGTCAAATCCACAACTTTATCATGATCCGCGCCCACGGCCGAGACGACGATCCGCTCTGGCCTGTACCACGTATGAATATAGCTCTTGATATCATCCGTCGTCATCGTCTGCAGGCTGTCCATCGGACACAACAACGGGTTCCCCAGCGTATTATCCTTATAAGCGACCGTATGCAACAACTCTGGCAGGATCATCTCCGGTTTCGACCAGTACTCTTCAATCTCATGTCCCGCCGAGATTCTTTGCTCGTCCAGTTCGACCTCTGAAATGAGGGGGTTACGGATCGTATCCGCCATGATCGACAACATCTTGGGGAGATCCTGAGGCAAGAGTGCCGATTGATACATGATGGATTCGCGCGAGCTCGAGCACATGACGTTTCCGCCCGCAGCCTCCAGATCGGCCATCATAGCCTCGCTAGTCCGATTCTTGGTCGATTTAAAGGCGAGTCGGTCAAGGATATGGCTCACCCCGCGGGTAGACTTGTCCTCGTATCGGGATCCGGCGTCGACATATACGCCTAGAGAGGCGAAGTGGCCTTGACTATCCTCGGTCGCGACCCGGACTCCGTTGGGAAGCTTTGTGACTTTAGCGTCCCAGGCGTTTTTGGAAGTCGCTGAGGAAGTGTTCTGGGATGATGATTCCTTTGTGAAGATCTGCTCTGGCGTTGTCTATCGGTATGGAGAAAAGTCGTTATCAGAAAGTTGGATATGGTGCTGTGCAGTGCTACGCAGTGCTGCACCGTCATGGCAGTTTTATGGATCATGACAAAAAGTACCTTGACAAAGTCGTCCGACTGAAGGGATGCTTGTTGGTGCTTGTTCATGCGACTGACAAGGGGCGTGGCCATGTTGTTGGCCCGCCTTGTGAAAGGCAGGACATGGCGAGCAATGGCGTTGCTAAGCTGCTTGGACATGGTGCGGTGTGATGCGTGCGAACAAAAGAGAAAAAGGGTTGGGTACGAGGATATCGGGAACTACGGCTCTAGTTCGCCGACCTTTTTTTTGAGTGGTGATCGGAAGGAATTGATGGCGAAGGACGCTCAATGGAAAGCGAAGAAGGGGAATGTACAAAGGAATGGAGTGGGCGGCAGGAGTGGAGGAGGGCAGTTGACGGCAACGGGTGCCCTCTTTGTCCAAATGTGGAAGCAAAAAGGCCCTGCTGAGCCACACTGTGACTGGATATGTAAACAGCTTACTCGACCTAGCAGAGCGTTTTTGGGGACAGACATAAACCTGAACCTGACCCTGACCCTCCTCTTTCGCTCCTCAACTCGACTCCACTTCTGCGAGCACGCTATAAAGCAGTCAAGGATGGTACAGAGAAACACACAACAATCACTGGGAAGAGGCGCATTCATCAGAAAGGCTTTTTATGCGACCTTCTCATCGACTGACGCGACTACTGCTACACATCTCTCACTAGCCTACGCAGTTCGTCACCAACTTGAGCAAGGACAATGGTACTGTTAGGAATCTGCTCAGCCAATACTCAATGAAGCAGCATTTAGGATATGGACCGACTAACGCGCTCGTTTCATCTCTACATGATAGCCCACGAGGACGGTATCTGGAGCGTCGCTTGGTCATCGAAGAATACGCTTGTGACAGGTTCACTCGACAACACCGTCAAGGTCTGGTAAGCTACCAGCGCAAGCCTACGACGGAGGATGGTCACCACATGAGCTCAATTGCAGTGGACTAACTGTATCTTATGTTTGTCTCTAGGGATGCCGAGAACGGAGAACTGAAGAGGACTTTGACAGGACACCAACTTGGTGTCAACTCTGTAGATACCAACGCCGACGGAACATGTATACACATATTCGTGCAATGGACATCGGATAAACTGTAATGGAAAACAGCACAAGGGTTGTTTGCTTATCAACTGTGCCACATTCTTTATGATCCTAGTGGCCGTTTCAACATCTCTGGATAGTCAGATCAGGATCTGGGATTTAGATCAGCTCAAGCAACAGAAGATCATCGACGCTGGCTCAGGTAACGGATGTGACTCAACTTTGTGCTCACGTCTCACCACTTCTTCAAAAGACAGCTGACATTCTTTACCTTTTTTTTATTTCCTTGGTTCTAGTGCAAGCATGGACAGCCAAGTTCTCGCCAGACTCGAAGCACATCGCCACAGGGTCGTCATCCGGAGATATCAACCAGTACAGCGTAGAAACTGGAGAGAAGGTGCAGACGTTCGAAGGACGGGGCAAGTTTTCCATGTGTGTGGCCTACGTAAGTCTCGAGTGGCTGCACGAGGGTTTGAAACAGGAGCATGCGAACGAAACGACTAATATTCAGGAACCTTCTAATAATGACGTTTATGTGTTTTCAAATAGAGTCCTAACGGAGAATACGTTGCCTGCGGAACTGAGGCTTCTTCTGATTCAGCAACTGTACTTTTATTTGATGTCGCTACCGGCAAGCTACGCTCCACATTTAAGGGTATCGTCCTAGCGCCATTGACAGGACCTGCTTGCTGATAATGGGTATTCGTTTTATATTCATAACTTTAATTCCAATTCCGTGCACTCTCTTCCTAGGACACGCTATGACTGTACGATCGATCGCTTTCTCTGACGATTCTACGAAGCTCGTGACTGGATCGGACGATAAGAGAATCATGATCCATGATGCGTAAGTGCCTTTCCGCCGTTGCATTGACTCCCGTGGCGCGGCAATATCGCGGATTATAGGCCTGACCATTCCAATTCATTTTCTCATGGCGCAATAGTGTCCATGGAGATACGATCCGTACACTTTCGGGACATTCTACTTGGATATTGAGCGTTGCAGTCAGCGCTGATGGTGTCCATGTTGCAAGTGGGTAAGTAGAGGCTTTGTACTTGGTACAAGGAAGACATTAATGTCGATGAAAGATATTAATTAAAGTGGTCAACTGCTGTGTAGATCAAGCGACAGCAAAGTCAAGTTATGGGATTTGGTTGCGGATCAGTGCATCGATACCATGGACGGACATAGCGATCAGGTACACAGAAGTTTCTGTTGTTTTTAATGTAGACGAACAGATACTGGTCAGAGACCTTGTTTGTTGACATGAGATGTGTTTGTTCGTCTGTTATAGGTGTGGGGTCTCGCTTGGAATAAGCCGGGCAACAAGTTTGCGTCTGTGTCGGACGACAAGGCGATCAAGTTTTACTCGACTACTTCAGCATGAGGAGAATATAGGTCTGGATGATCGGATACCGCCTGTCTTTTGCTCCATGACCCCAGTGCTTGTAACCGGAATTCAAATCTCATAATAAAAGTGTCCTTATCGTGTTTTTGTATGATGTTCCGAGGATCAATGAGCGCGCGTTGGGATTACGCGTCGATTTAGCGCGTAGAGATTCCTTGTTTTGAGACAGATAAGATCTTCTCTATGCGTGCTATTCCCTCTTAAAACATGGCAGTTAAACTCCCCATTATGTTATTATGCTCATATCCAAACCTTTCAGCCGTTCACAATTGAGCAACTGAAGGAAGAATATGCAACAATTGACGGAAGGCACAAACACCTGCCAGGTCCTTCAGCAACTCGCGACTAGAACCCACTTTGTCTGCAGTCACTTGTATATCTGTATTTGTTTCTCATAACAAAAAAAGTCGATATCATATAATGAACGCTATCCTTATCCTTCCTCTGTCTTTTGCTCCTGTGGAGGACCAAGCCCTTACGAAGGAAGGGATGTGTGAACTCGACAGGGATTCGATGTATAGATCGCCGCCAAAATTCACGCCATACGGTGCGTCCTTCAAATGCGTTCAGTGAGGAGGGACGATCTATTTGCCGCGTCGAGTAGGCTCTCCCCACAGTATGGTCTTGGTGCTACGCCAAGGCATCAATCAGGGAGCAAAAATAAAGCGCCCAACGTGGGGGTCGAACCCACAGCCTTCAGATTAAGAGTCTGACGCTCTACCGATTGAGCTAGCCGGGCCTTGTAGTTATATGCCCGAAAAATTATAAATTCTATGAATTCATTAGAATATAATTCCTTAAATGCAAATTTATTCTATAAATGCATTTTTCTTCTATAAGTGCAATTAGGCGATGGCTCAGTTAGCATACTGGTCAGGGCACCTCCCTTGTAACGCGAAGGGACCAGGTTCGAGCCCTGGTTAAAGCACAGTAATATGTGCTACGCATAGAAATTTATTTGGAGCATGAGTCGGGCGTACTACCCCACTTCAGTTATGTGGGTTTCCTTTCCCCGGCGACCCCCACATTGAGTGGCACTACCCCATGTAATCGTTGTGGGTTTCCTTTCCCCTTCCTTAACGCTTGACAAAAATGCTCAGAATAAATTTCGCCCTTGCGCTAGCCTCCGGACTTCGAGAGGCGCTGGTTCAGAACTTCCCAGCTATACACCAGGGTGTACAAGTTATTCCACTGCATTGGCAGCATGCGTCTTAGCTACCCCTGCCGGGGTTACAGGTATAAGTTCAAAAGTGAGTAGGCCCACTTTATAATAGGCTAATCTGAGCTCACATCCAGTGACCTCAGGTGGAGGAAAGACGGGACGAGGAGGTGGAGGAAATGTTACAATAGTAGAGGATTCGGCTCGCAAGCCAGTAGAACGGATTCCGTGCTCTCAAGAAACCAAGACCATCTCCCAGATGTACAGGTTACAATTGGAGAGATGGTCTTGGCAGATTTGCAGGTGAGGAGCCTGCCAGCTAGCCGAGCGGATCGCAGGAGAAAGACCTCGGGACGCTTAGGGAGGTTACAGTGAAGTTGTTGGAGATGGTGCGACTGCCACACTAGAAGATTTAGGGCCAGATAGACACAAGTCTCAGAGACTATTCACTAGGAAATCAGCACTGATTGTTCTCTCTCGGAGGCCATGTTGAATAAAAAAAAAAAAAAAAAATGCACTTAGAGAATACAACGTGCGTACTCGTGTGGATTATGAACACTCTATTAGGGAAACCGGAGTGAGTGCAACGGACACATTAACCACTGTCCTTGTGGTGCGCTGCAAGCCAATCATGCAAATGGGTGCTCCCTGGCCCGCACTGGCTCCTGTTGCTACGGATTGGACGCTACTGGATTACCTGCAAGGGTAGAGGCGGTTGACAATCCAACCATAGAGAGGATGGGGAAGATACCTAGTCTTCAGCTTTTTGTACACTGATGAGGTGCAGCAATTCTTGCGCAGGCCCGGATAATGCGCCCTGTCTTTTGGCGACTGTAGATTGACTCTGCTTTAGTGGAAGGGAGGACTGTAGTGGATCATTGCTAGTTTGGCCTGATAGATTCGCAGTGTCAATCGACCCGGTAGATGAAAATTAGGATAGCATCGCAACGGCATATCGTTGTGCGAGAAAAAAAAGGATCAAATGGGCTGTTCAATGTGGAGAAGGAACCTGATGTGGTACACTCAGAGGGTGACAGCGCGATGGGAATAAGGAATAGTAGAAACAGAGGGAAAGAAAAAGTGCTGTTCCTATCACTTGTCGGCGTTCCTCCGCATGTGCATGATGAGTGTGTGCACTTTTATGGTTTAGCAGGATGCTCTCGATCTTTCAAAAGATTACCTCCTGATAAGAATAGAATGGGGTCCCCCGTTCTTTTCTTAGCGCATTTCCTGGATGATAATCCAATTGCAAAACGTGTTCGTTCGATCGCAGCGAGCATCCAGAGGCAAGCAGCGCAGAAGAGACGAACGACGAAGGCGACTAAGATAGACATCTATCTGTGTCTTCTTTTATATTGGAGTAGCATTTAGCTGTATGAAGAGAGAGTGGGCGTTAAAAGTAGAAGCAGACCATCCCTTCCAGGCTCAGGTCCACTTGAGGTTCAAGTATGAGGGCTGATTAGGGGCGAGAGCCACAGCCGGCTGGACCTTCTGGGAAATATAATAAATCTTCTTCGCATCATCATCTTTCATTTCTCATCTCTCTTTCTTTCACTCTTCACATCCTATTCCCTTTTCTTTTCCTAACATACTCACTCTATAATTCATCATGAAGGCCCTTATTCTCGTCGGCGGTATGTCTTTTGCAAATAAAAAAAACCATATACTCATCAAACCTTTCTGCTCCATCCAAGAGAACAAGGCATCACTAACCTACTCCTTTTTGCGGTCTGTTCCTTCAGGTTTCGGTACCCGTCTTCGCCCCCTCACCCTGACTATGCCCAAGCCCTTGGTTGAGTTTGCAAACAAGCCCATGATTCTCCATCAAATCGAGGCCTTGGCCGAGGTATGTCTCCAAATGAACGATCGTTTGCACACTGGATCAGTGTCTTTTATCTGGCGGGAATAGGGCATCCAGAGTTGCCTCAAGCAAAAGTCTGCCTGGAGTAAAGGCGCGCATTGTTCAAGGACGAGAGTACCAGGAACGAAAGAGGCGCATCAAGTCTGACCTATGTCCCATCTATCTTGCTACCTTTTCCCTTGGCGATCTTAGGCTGGTGTCACTGATATTGTCTTGGCTGTTAATTACAGACCCGAGGTCATGGTCTCCATCCTTCAGAAGTACGAAGATCTCTATAATGTCAAGATCACCTTTTCTGTTGAAACCGAGCCTCTTGGCACAGGTAATTGATGCGCTTTAGAGAGTCGACCGAACGAAATGCCCACGAGCACTGTGTGGGCTGTGGTGCTCGACACGTTGATTAGCATTACGGAGACTAACTGTTTGCTCCACCTCCACATGATTCTCTTCGTCACTCCCCAGCTGGTCCCCTGGCCCTCGCTCGCGATATTCTCGGCAAGGACGATTCGCCCTTCTTTGTCCTCAACAGTGATGTTATTTGCGACTTCCCCTTCCAGGAACTCAAGGCCTTCCATGATGCTCATGGAAACGAGGGCACCATCGTGGTATGTATGCGCGCCTTAATCTGATTGCACGCCTTAATCTGTTTTCACGATATCGAGGACACGTTGTACAAATTGCATGAGAAGGGCATGATCAAAAAATAGCCGATATTAATCGCACGCTTGATTCTTTTTGTTGGTATTGCTGTTGGCGTAAAACAGGTCACCAAGGTTGAGGAACCATCCAAGTATGGTGTCATTGTTAACAAACCCGAGAGCTCAATGATCGATCGCTTTGTTGAGAAGCCCGTCGAATTCGTTGGCAACAAGATCAACGCTGGAATCTACATCTTCAACCCCAGCATCTTGGATCGTATCGAGCTCAAGCCCACATCCATCGAGCAGGAGACCTTCCCCTTGATGGCCGCAGACTCGCAGCTTCACTCATTCACTCTGGAGGGATTCTGGATGGACGTCGGTCAGCCCAAGGACTTCTTGACCGGAACCTGCCTTTACCTCGCTAACATCAACAAGACCAACCCCGGCAAACTGGCTAATCCCAACAGTGGCTATGTCCACGGAGGTAACGTCTTGGTCGATCCTACTGCCAAGATCGGAAAGGACTGCCGCATTGGACCCAACGTCGTGATCGGACC